AGGTATCCATCAGAGTTTCCTCTGGCTTCATCTTGACTAGACATAGTTCACCATCTTTCGGGTCTTAAACATCACGATTGTAGTCCACAAATGCCAGAAAGCATAAGTAGCTCATCGCTTAACCGTGGAACAACCACAAATAGCTATATCCTTGCAGTTCACTTCGCCTTCGGGTGTCAAAACCCAATGGCTCGCGTGCCATTTGAACTCCTTGGCCCGTGTTTCAAGACGGGTCAAATAACTAATGCTAACCACTGATGGCCGACCGCTTACATAGTAACATGCTCATCTCAACAAGGAATAAACCGAATTGCAGATACAGCAGTTACATTTAGTAAACGCAGGCCGCGGCTGTCACACAGCTAAACTACTCCGGCTAGCTGACGCCCAACAAAGAATATCGCATAGTTTCTCAATGAATGACTATGCCTATTTTTTTTACGTATTTATTATTTATAAGCCTATTAGCCTATTTTATCACGCTTGAACAATATTAATTAACATTAATTTGCCAATAAGTACTTTTTGATTGTGATTCAATTTCAAGCTATCACAGAATTTTGGACAAGTTATCAGCAATAACTTCGCACATTTTACACTATTGAGTAGTTAAAGATTCTTGCAATCATAATTTATATTTCATAGAAAAAATTAATTCAGCATTGCGTAGTTTTTGTATAATCCACTTTAAAGCTAAAAGAGGGTTATCTTATTGGCGAATTATTCTTTGTGCGCTTCTATAAACTGCCGCGGCAAGGTAACGCCTTCTCGCAGTCATAGAAAACTTTAGGACATTAGGTGCCAGAAAATGGATGCAAGATGACGATGCAAGGTATAACATAGCGACAGAGATATTTTGTATGCAGTAGTAGCTCACAAAGACTAATTTTGGTCCCCATACCAGATGGTCTTCAATATGAGTAGATAAGTGTTGGTACTAGGCTCTGTGAAAGAGTTATATACGATACGTTGTAAATTATTCACGTCTCATTCTTAAATAGCGACTGCGACGGAAATGCGCGCCGTAACGTTGCCGCTCCACCCATTTACGTGTCACAACAGACGCTCTGCTCTAGGCGCCAATTCTTGCTTAAAATTGTTAGTACTTCGGACATGAGATCATACCCTATCGGCAGCCGTGCAACGTTTGCTGTAATGAAATTATTTGGTAAACGCCAAAATTTTCCCGTCATTCGGCTTGAGTGATATTTCGTTCTAATGTAACGATAACGGCGGTACCGGGTATACTGCTAGCAAGGCAAGGTATAGAAAATCATAAGTTACAGCTATCAAATTTTTTTTACCAGAATTATTGAATATAATATAGAGAATATAACAATATTAAGGGCTTAATTATAAAATATCCGGATAAAAAAATATCCTTTAGATGGTTTTTTTACAAGGGAACGGACATGTAATGTCAGTCCTCTAGGAAACGATATTTTCGACCTATCGATATATACTTTTACGTAGGGGGAAGGGATCGAATACTCTTACGGAGCAAGGTTAGTGTACACATAGGACGGGCAGGACTGAACATTTTTACGAAATTTCAATTTTGTAAGCAAATGTCTGCCCTGGCGCATTGTATAATTCAATTAGAACTGAATTTTCAAACGATCAGAATGCCCACGAACGAAAGGTATACGAATGCTTTATTGACCAGATCATTTTAGTGAATAACACTTACCATTTCACTAGTATCCTGCATTAAGTTAAACACGATTATAGAAGGAAAATCCACTGGCAGTTTTTGTGTGAACCCGTATCTAGATATAGAATTTTTTTCTGTTTGAAAATATAGTAAAAAAAAAAATTGTAAACTAATTGATCCGAGTTGACTGTATGACTACTAGAGTTCGCTTATAACTATTTGTTAGTCAACTTATTGTGCAATTTTAATGACAAGACATAGCTGTGGGCAACTGCCGGCTGAACGTCAGTCGGCTAGTTATGGCTAGTAATGATGGATCACGGCCTCAAATAGAAATGAGAAGCGAATTGCCATGGCCTAGCGATCCCACCTTTCATTATATTCGTAAGCGATGTTACCGAGATGTCGTATTTCTTTGATTCTGTAGGTGGATACGCTCTATACGCGCAACATTCGACGCTTTTGCTATAACAAGTTCAAAAAAGGAGAGTGTCTGCTTAAGAAGGCGATACCAAGCAGGATACTAATGGTAGTATCAGGCCATTAAAGCTCAAGGTAGGACCACACGGAAGTGACACATGGTCTCTCTACATCTATTACTTCAATTGCAATCGCTATTAGTGATACATTTATCAACAAGTTGAAGCTTGTAACACCTTCAGTTGGTAAGTATAGTATCGGCAATGACTAGTCTGTCTAGTGACAATCGAGTTTTCGCTACGATTGAGCATACCTTACAATTGTTATATCATGCTATTTACAGCTTCTGTCATCTTCAAACATCGTCGTCGCAATTACGCCAGTGCGCAAAATATACTCGAAAAAAAGAAACTCCCAAAGATTTAGGAGAACGCCGCCAACAAGGAATAATCAACACAAAGATGAATAATCAGTTGATTATTAATAGATGCTGTTAAATTTCCATGAGAACAACGCGTTTTCGAGGCTCTGTTGCGGAGATTGTTCCTTAAGGAGCTCTTGATATAACACATCGAGTGCGATCAGAAAACTATTAAAAACGCCTGTATGTCATTCTTCAAGCCAATCGCAGCTATCTACAAATTAGACCTGTCTGAACTTGTCCGCCGAAGGCTCGTTAAAGCTAGAAGGAATACAGTGGCAACCGTAATCACCACGCATCTGATCGAAATGGACTGTAAACAAAGATATTGACCTGCATGTTTCTAAAGAAACTAGTATCTAATTTAATTACTCATTGAGTCCCAGTTTTAACATTTGACAGATTTGCATTTTTTTTGCAAAATATGTTTCATCAGCGGTTTTTTTTTTTTTTTATATATTTTACAGTTGCATGTATTGAACTGCTTTATTATAAAGCTGAGTTTAATCTTTATTTTGTGGCTGCCGCTGTGGCCTGCGTGGCGACTAAATCGCTTTATGAGAAAAACTAGGGCCAAATTAGTTTAGGATTATAGAGTATACTGGGCTTAGGTTTTCTGTAGTGATACTTCGTTCATGATTGCATCTAACAAATTTGAGTTATCGGGTATAATTCCAGTATCTATATCTTAGATCAATCAGAGGCCTTTTTTTGCATAAAAACAGGTCTCAATTGGTTATGAAAATTACCATAGTAAATGATAATGCCATTAGCAGAATGTAACTTTGGCCTACCACGTCGGACCAAACCATGTTTTCATGTGGGCGCAGTATGACAAATACACAGAAAGTCACAAGTTACCGATTAATTACGGACAAATTTCCTTCTGAAACGCATTTACTCGGAAAAATCAGTATCAAAAAAAAATAGAATACGTTTTCCGTTAATAAACTCTGGCCGCTCCGCGAAATGCAATATTAGTCTGACAATTTACGTCTTTAAGAAAAATGGATGAAGTTCATCAGATAATACACGCCATCTTAATATGGTAACTATAATAATAATTTCTTCTGATAGCTTGATTTTTTTTGTCAAGTTTCTTCAATCCGGTCGGTGTTAGGAGTTTATCATGTTTTTTTGTTGTAAAAAAAAGATTGTACTAACTAGGCATTTTCTTTATAGGAAACGTTTTTTGGGGACATCACAGTCAGGGCAAATAGCATCAAGGTAAAAAGTTACATAGCACCGCCGACTATATTTGTGTATGGAACGCCGTTTATCGGACTTCTGATTTGGTTTAGGGAAGAGGGGCAGCTAATATCTTGGTACTTGCCAGCTGCTTACACTGCACGATATCAATAAAAATTCTTTACTGTGATATAGCTGTGATTTTTAAAATTTCCGTTTTTGTAAACTTCAGAAAATTAGTTTCGGTTATAAAAGTACCCCTTTTAAATTGCTGCGGTCGAATCAGGTGTTCGACGAAGAAATTCGTCTTAGATATGATAGGAAAATTTTTTTAACTGCTCCCAGGCTTCAGCTGAAGCCACGGCCGCGTTAGCCATTTGCGACTCGTTTGATTATGTTCTTATTCTTAGTTCCCTTTTTTTTTTAAGATAAAACACGCATAAACGAAATCTTCAATCGTCCCAGACAATCCAAGGAAATATTAAACCTAACTAAAATACCTACTGTATTTTAGTAGATCACAAGTGTTTTTTTTTTAATAATGATTCATTCTAGAATCAGTTAACAATTGATTTCTTATTGAAGCGGACTAGAAGTAATATATATATATATACTATATAAGCTTTTAGTAACTTATATATATTTCAAGTATATATAAGTTACTAAAAGTTTCAGTATACTTATATACTGTTTCTGTTGTTAACATTTATATATAATATTTTTTTTAGTTTTTTAATAGCGAGTTTAATAATCTATCTTTTTTGGCACATGGGCACGGCGGGCTCCAGGAATCGCCAAGCACAAAGAAGTTTAAACGTTTATAATACATTTGAAAAACCCTACATATAACTCTAACCTTTATTATACGCTCTTGTTTGGTTATAGGAATAGATCGTATACAATCTTGAAAAAAAGATCGTAAAGCTGGATTTGAAATTGAGTACTGTAATAAAATACCGTCGTCGTGCGCCCTTACATTGACAGCATAACTTAGCTAACAAAATTATTTTACAAGTATTTTGGAATGGAACGAATGAACACTGCCTGAATCTAGTAACACGTATTATAAACGCCTTATGATTTCATTGTTTTATATTGAACCTAGTAACACGTATTATAAACTCCATATTACTTCATTGTTTTATATTATATGATTGATTCTGATTAACGCGTTTAAAATAACCTGGTTTATTATACTAAACAAGTCGATGGATCAAGAAAATGTACGTCCTTAGATTTGGCATGTATGAATATTTATTTACTCAATCTCTTTATAATTATATAGAGTGTCTGACGTTGTTACTATCAACGTTCAAGCCTGGCGCCCATCTGTTGTAAGCTGTATAGCAAGCTTAGGTTTAAAACATTCTTAAAATGTTTGCATTAAAGAGTAGTCAACCTCTTGCTCAAAAAGTGCCGGCTCGTTATCTCGTTTCATGGTTGACAGAAGATCGACGTTCTGATTTGTTCTAGCGACATAATGATAGTGATTATGATCAATTTCTAGTCTTCATTGCAAATTTTGCCGGTAGGCATTAACAGATTTATATGTAAAAACCAGGTATTGAAATCACGAAGGTAATTAAGAAATAACAAACTGAAGCATTGCAGGTAATGAACATAAAAAAAAACCACATGTTTTATTATTTGCTTACCACAAGCCGACTTGCTTTAGATTCAAAGGCAGAGTTCCATTGAACGAACATGGGTACTCGTGGTACGTTGTCATTGTCTGGGTCAACTTGTACCTACGCACTTTGTCTCAACGGTAACGTAGTTCATCATCTTGTAGTCTCTCCCAATAGGTGCCTGACCAACCCATCCTTCATGCAGAAGGAGATCCACTTTTGAAAGATCTAAGCCCTCGTTCAGCAAATCCAACTGTCGAATCACGAAGAATTCAAGTATATGTTGTATATTTTAGTGGAAACAAAAGATATCGATGTTGAACTGTAAGCTTTTTTTTATGCTCACATCTATTGAATGTTGTGAACTGCTAATAACGAGAATGCGGCTGACACAAACCAAACAAGCCATAGTGTGATTTAAGATGCTTGTGCTCTTTTTCAACCTTGCGTCTTGCAAGGGCTAATCCCACTCCAATAGAACCCGATCTCGTTTAAGCTAAAAGACAGTAGGTTATCTAACGGTCACCATCTTAATTTTGCCGTCACTCACAGCAGTCGTTTCGTAAATGACTCGGCACGTTTGATGAAGACAAGTTGACACTTGCAAAAGTGGTTTGCTTAAGTCTAATTCGGCTGCAACTACAACGGTGGCCACTAGATCCGTTCTTCCAGTATCAGACACACGGAACTCAATGCTGCAGTTGTAGTCCTGCAGTAGCTGCGCCCTCTGGTCGAACCAAGTTTGTAGGTTCAATCGGTCTCTGGAATTGTATTGAAATATGAGTTCTAAACCACAAACTTGCCTTTTGATATAACTAAATAATGCACGGTCTCCATAGAAATTTTTATTGCAGGAAACTACATGCTAAAGCATCACTGAGTCTAGCAAAAGTTATAGCAGCAACGAACAACAGCTCTCACAGACGATGACCAACCTACCTACTAAGGCAGCAATAAAGTAACTACTCTTTTTGAACTCACATCGTTATATCATCGCTTGCCTCAGGAAATAGGAAAATTCGCTGGGAACTACGACTGCACCTGTCCATTGTGAACAACAGCATGCTTTTAAATCTTGTGCTGCTGAACACCATTGAAACAAAGCTTGAATGAATATTCTGATTTTCCGTCACGTTTACCGGTATACGAAACACCACTATCCACTGAAATTTTAACGAATACCACACATCACTAAATGTTGGAATATTCTCATTGACTCGGATTTTGTGTAACATTACTAGAGTAATGTTATCTTTATCAAAGCATTTGGAAGTATAAAAATCTAGGAAGATTCAGATTTATCGATCTAGTGCTGTGCTTAACTGCAGCAGGAAGTACACACACAAGATAAATATGGGCATAATAAAAATCTGGCCCTTTCTACTATATCCGATGAATCTACGTTCACTGACTGTTTGCAAGTATTAAGCCAATATGGAAAGGAATTCAAGAGAAAAAAAAGAACATACCTCAACCCGAAGACCGCTTGAAGTTTCTGCGTTCGACAAATCCGTGGACACTTTCATCGCCAATGCGTCCACAGCTGTAATAGTCTTCGGGCAGCTGAACTCTTTAAACGAAGCCTTCCCTAATTCAATAGCTTGGCTTTCATCCAACTTTTTGCCTTTGATAACAAAGTACGCGATAATTCCAACGGCTATAATGACAACGACAATGACAAGTATTGTCGCCTTGGAGACACCTCTTCAGAGAAAGATAAATGATCAGCTATTTTCTGTCATAACTCACGGACAGCACACGCTGCATAAATAACATTGCAATAATGGTATGTAATAATAGTAAATGGTTTTTTACCAAGCTAGTGTTCATAACATATGAAAAATACCCTTACGTTGCCTAGGTTCTCCTTTCGCATATACCCTTTTCGTTGCTTGCAAAAGGGAAGCACCTCGGCGTAGCCCCGTGATAGGCTTAGATATTCCCTTGTCTCCAGTCTTCATGCTACCTTAGATGTTCGGGTATTGGAAAATACCATGCAATGGAAAGTGCTAACACGCAAATATAATCCCTATATTTATTAAGTTAAGTTATTAATTTCAACTAGGTAGAACCATGGCAGCATCAAGGACTATCAATAGCCTTCTTGGTACCTCATGACCCTCTCCAATAGTTTTGAATTTACTTCGGGGCTTGTGAGACACGCGATCTGTGTAAAAGGACAATTGTGTGGGCAAATCTTTCATATAGCTAACTTATCCGAGAGATGTGGGGGTATTTACAGGCGTTTTGAACCGGTGAGGAGCAATGCATGCGAAAAAAAATAAACGAAATCACGTGAAGCTGTAAGAAAGCGTAGGAATAGTTGAACAGTCAGATGTTGCTTATTGGTTAAAACAGGATTGTATGGTAGTATCGAGGCGAAGCAGTTGATTTCCGAACGGAAGCAAATGTGCCTAGCAATGTAGTCTATCCATTGCACATCAGAATCTACGAGCGATCCGTCATTAGCTTGAAGCAATTTCTTGAGCACTACATATTTCATAACAAAAAGTGCAGCCGCATGAGGCGTATTGTTTCGTCACACGCTTCCCAGCGCCCCACCTAATTTTGTTACATATAGGGATGTGGTGTTACTGGCGGCAGTATCCCGTGACGTCGCTCTTAAGGAACGCGCCCATTTACGAACAATTTCAATTCCCTCTGCAACGATCCGCTGAGTTGAAACTTACAGCTACTTGAAGGCTAACTTATTAATATACAATGAATACAATAACTAAACTCATAGTTGATAGATGATAGTAACTTAACTCAAAAGTTACTATCATCTTCGCAAATCATACACTAGATATCAGATCGCATTCACAAAACTAATTAGTGATTTTACGTGTAGTGTTAAGGGCCCAGGGAGATTTATCCGAGATCCTAGGGTGCAGCGGCAAACCAAAAGATCGAAACATTGACTTGAAGGGAGTCGGGAAGAGGGTTCCAGACGGTCGCACTTGGGACAGTGTCAATTTACGTGTAGTGTTATGGGCTCGGAGAAATTTATCCGAGATCCTGGAGTGGAACGGGAAACCAAAAGATCGAAACATTGGCTTGAAGGGAGTCGGGAAGGGGGTTCCAGACGGTCGCACTTGGGACAGTGTCAAGTTTTTGTTTAGTGATGTGTAGCATGTAGCTAGTGTACACGCTGTTAAATCCAAGCCAAATGATTCTTTCAGTAACTCTAAAATGTTTAGAGTTCAACTTTGTGTAATAAAAAAATTGGTGATCGTGTTGAAATTCACCAGCAGAAAACACGCAGAATGTTCCAGAGAGTAACTATGTAAAAGACTTCGTAATACCTCTAAGGCCCGCACTGGCTATGCGCTCAAAATGACAAATGTTTATATTAGGCGTAAACCACAACTTGCTCATGACTCCTAGCAGAATCAGCGTGAAATATAATTAACTTAAGCTCTTCTAGACAATATGGACCCTTTACCGCTTGTTCGCACGTACTTGAAATCAAGCTTACTCCTTATTCACAATTATATAGCATTTTTCATCAAACCTGTTAGACAGCATTCAGTGTTCGTACTGACCATACAGGCCATGGGGACACAACAGCACGAAAACGAAAAGAAAGAGGTAAAAAACATTGCATTCACTTCGATTGATTAAATCGGGGTACTTTTTTAGGGAGGCTAGGAAACGAACCATTTGGCGCACCTGGGCACACTTCCCGAATGACCCGTAGTGGAATTCAAATATAAGACTCTTCAGGAGGCACCTGTCTATGTTAATGCAAATGCCGTAAGGTAAAAAGCGACTACCCACTAAATGCGATCCTCCGCGGGATTCCTGCTCAAAATACTACCAACTTGAGGATTGATCTGACAAAAACCTAAGTATACGCTGTTGACCTGGCTGGATTCGCTGATGGAATTCAACTTTGTAGGAGCCGTACTGGTTGTCAAAGAGATGCTAGGGCGCTCTATTTTCTTCAGCGCTTCTCTATATTAGCATGGAACTTTTGAAGACGTTTAGTTGTGTGTAATACATATTTTTGGAGAAAAAATCTTCATTAGGTCTGGAATAGAAGTTCTTTCTCGTAAAATAATGCCAAGATTTTAACACATCTGTTGGCCTAAAAGGTCTCACCTTAAGATCTCGAAAGACGAGTACTAAATGTACCTACACAGCGTTTGTTAAATAAATTTGTTCTTAGATTATTTGGTATTCGTTTGAGATTTGGAATAGTGCTTCTTAGAAAAAAAAAAGTTAAAAATGATGCATACTTTGGTTTTGAAGTGGCACTGACCGACTGTGGATCAACGTGTTCGCCGAAAATGTTCTGCAAATCGTCTTGCCGATCACTTGCTGGGCTTCGCTTTTGACCCGCGGGAGTAAAGCTACTACCGCTCGTTGTTGTCGTCGACAGGCTGCTCATTGTCTGGCTATCAGACGGAGGCGAAATTAATCGCTTACTAGTTTTCCAGTCATTGTCACTATGTTTAGCGTTAGGCTTTTTACCGAAAATTTTGGATTCAAGTGTTTTAGCTACATTCCCGTCCGCAGGAGCTCTTGCTACAACCTTGTCTACAGCTACCTTAAAACCACTTTTTGGCTCAGGCGACAGAATATAGGTGTTTAATCCCGCTTTTTCTTGAGAGTTCTCTTGCTGAGGGGACGTAGAATCGCTACTAAGCTGCGGCGCTCTTGGAGGTCCAGGTGACATTGGGGTGTTCTTTGATTCACGCCTCGATCGAATATCACTTGTTGCATCGGAACCCGCAGCATCAGATGATTGGAAAATACTTTTCACGTCAGAAGTCTTCAAAGGATTAGGGCCGGAAATTCTTTTGGACTCCAGTTTATTTTTTTCTTCCATGGCGCGTAGTCACTACGCTGCAATGCGGCCAGTAACTTACCCCCGATTAGAACGAACCTTCGTTGTCAACGCAAATGATTCTATTCCACGCGCTGAAGTCGTTTCCTTGCAATGGGTATAGAAGCACCTGTATTCATTATAGTAAGCATTTAACTAACACATCTTTAGTCCACGTATTGACCAGCTGAACCAGTTTAGCGTTTAAGTTACTCAACAATCTACAATTACGTTACAGCAGCGAGTTTCCAAATAGGCTTTACTAGAAGTGAACTCTTCTACTTTCTTTATTCTTTGCTTCAGATTTTAAGGTTTGTTTGGCGTTCTTCGTTCGTCTACGCTACCCAGCTTTGGGTTCTTGTATGTATCATATGCGCATATTTAACTTACGCGGAATTAATTAGATATAATGTCTGACTCAACAGACCTGAACAGCGTTCATGGGCAAGTTTTGAGTACAACCTTTGAGGAATGGTAAGTGATAGAAGGTTCATATCTGACAGAAGTAAATCACTACTGTGAAATCAAGGCATATCGTTAGGTTCAAAAAGGCTGTGGCCAAGCAATTTTGCTTAAGCATTTCCCAACTTAATTTTCAAAGAGATTTTCCTGCGATGTTTGCGTTTGTCCTATTTTCATATGAAGTTTCAAAGCGTGCTACATATGACTGAACTTTTTTATGAATCGTAAGTGATGAGGGCGCTCGAGATAGCGTGCAAGAAAATTTTAGACAGGATTCAATATTTGGCTGGGTATGGTCGGTATAAGATCTAATGATCATGCTTTCGAAGGCCAAAAACAGTAATCGAGGACCTCGTCGACAAGAGCCTGATTACGTAAATATAAGAAAATCTTCAGGACTGATCATTAATTGCATAAAGTTAAAAAATGTTTACCGCATATGAGCAGCCGATCGTGGCATTCTCATTTTTTTGGTTTGAAATACGTAGCGAAAGACCTCAACTGCAAGCATGATGAGTGAGACATAAGGGATATAAACAAAAACAATATAGAGAAAAAGGGAAAGAAAATCTATTATATTAACTATCCTTTTTATTGCTATTCGAGTTTTTGTTAAAGCGTAGAAGATTTGCTACAAGGTACTGTGACAAATTTGATTCATTTGTTACTGAATGTTTCTTTAACATTTAGGTAAATTGGAATTTTAAGTTAAAACTTAATTTAAGTCAAGGTTAAAAGCTCAATAGGCAAAGCTTCCAAAGGGCATGCGTACTATATATTATCGAGTCGATCAGAATGTCATTTTGTCAACCTTTAACTTTTACTAATTATTCAACCGTTTACCTTAAAAATTGATATATTCTCATTCGGCGTTTGGCGTTAATTTCACATTCTCGTTTGTAACAGTCTTCTGTATGATTAAATCATGAGATCGAAAAGCTGCAAATCTTCGGGTTCTGTTTTCTTCTTATCCGACGTTGGGAAACTGCAGTTGATATAGTAAGCATCGCGCAAAAAATAGAAGGATGATTCGCAGTACCTTGTTACTGCGTTCGTCGACGAGGTTTGTTTTAGCCTTGTAAAAGAGCGAAAGAGAGCTCTACTTAACGCCAAGTTAAGCACTACCGGCAAAATTGATCGTTTGCAATTTTTTAGAAGTTTATGTATTCATAGGAGTCATATAAAACGTTAGCATGCCGTCATCGAATTTTAAGCAATCGACTGTCAACGTTTTCTAGTATAAAAGCAATAACTCTTTTCATCTTTACCGGGCACAGTTTAAATCGGTATACATAGGGGGTCAATAAGTTTAGTATAAAGCCTCAATCGCTGTTCCAAATAGCAGAAGTTGGAAGATGACGAACTGTAGGCTTTACCGCATGGAAATTAGGCCCACTTGCTGCGAGATATGAACTAGTTGCGCCCTACTTACGAATCGCCTCTTTCCATTAAAAATTCCATGAAAGACAAAAAAATAGGTCCCACT